AAAAAAAAAAAGAAAAACTGTTGGGGTTGAGGAATCTTCTTGCCTCAGCCTCCTGAGTAGCTGGCACTACAGTCACCCACCATAATGCCCAGCTAGTTTCTCTATTTTTCATGGAGATGAGATCTCAGGGATGTCTCACACTTGCTCAGGATGGTTTCCAACTCCTGCTCAGATAATCTACCCACCTTGGCCTCCCAGAATGCTAAGATTACAGGTATGAGCTACCATCCCCAGCCTTATGTAAAGTTTTGACAAATGTATATGCCTGTGTAACCAAAGCCTAGTGAAGATACAGATTATAGAACATTTTCCTCTCAGAAGGTTCTCCTGTGCCCCATCCCTTTCAAAAGCAACAGCTCTATACTGTATCCCATGAACAGCAGTCAAAATCATAGCTGAAAATGTAACTCACCTCCAAAATGTTATCAATTATTTACAACTTAGTATGAAGGAAGGATTAGAATACAACTATTTCCGGGAAAGAGGGAGATAAGATTATAGGGATCTTTGGATTGTAAAACCAAATATTTGCATCCTGAAGGATGTTCAGAAGCCCCACATGGTCTTTCACTGATACCTGGGAACTCAGGAAATAGGCCAGGAATGTGGAGGCGAGAGTCCCTCCAATTCAAATCCATCTTCTTCTTCTTCTTCTTTTTTTTTTTCCTGAGACAGAGTCTCACTGTGTCACTCTGGGTAGAGTGCCATGGTGTCATAGCTCACAGCAACCTCAAACTCTTGTGCTTAAGTGATTCTCTTGCCTCAGCCTCCCAAGTAGCTGGGACTACAGGGGCCTGCCACAACGCCCGGCTATTTTTTTGTTGCAGTTGTCATTGTTGTTTGGCAGGCCTGGGCTAGGTTCAAACCCACCAGCCCTAGTATATGTGGCTGGTGCCCTAGCCGATGAGCTACAGGCACCCAGCCACCTTCTCAAAAATACCTTTCCTTAGGCTGTAGTAGTTTCTCTCCCCTCTCTATGTCATAGCATTGGCACTATGGTATGAGCCATTTCATTGGTCACAAACTCAAATGTAACTTTCCTTTTTGTAACTGATCTTAATTCTTGTTTCAAGCCCCTATTCCTCTTAGCAGTAGAAAACATACTTGGCTTGGCACCTGTGGCTTGGCACCTGTGGCTTGGCACCTGTGGCTCAAGCGGCTAAGGCACCAGCCACATACACTGGAGCTGGTGGAAACAATGACAACTGCAACCAAAAAATGGCCAGGTGTTGTGGTGGGTACCTGTAGTCCCAGCTACTTGGGAGGCTGAGGCAAGAGAATTGCTAAGCCCAGGAGTTGGAGGTTGCTGTGAGCAGTGACACCACAGCACTCTACCCAGGGAGATAGCCTGAGGCTCTGTCTCAAAAAAAAAAGAAAACATACAAATTAAGGTGAACTCGGTCACTTCAGTGTTATTTCACCCAGTGCAGGTTTATACTTAAGTCCAGGCTTTCTTTGACATTGAGTCACTTTACTATTTACTGCCTTATAACTTTTAATTTTTTGGTTGTTTAGCATATCTGTGACCGTGAGATAACTGTTTAGATGTTGCAGAGCCCTCAGACCTTACCTCCCACAGTGCCTCACGCAGTACTTTGCACATTGGTTTACATTTTTATATTTGAAATATATGTGATAAGGTAGCTGGTGATCCTTATAATTTCACAAAACTGTGACTAGAGGATCGTTGCATTTAAACTTAAATTTTAACCCAAGACTGAGGGTAACCTAGTCAAAAGGGCATGATCGTGGATTAGGAGTCTGGAGAGCTGAGTTTGTACTGTAACTTAGTATGTAACTTTGGGCAAGTCATTTAACCTTAGGACCTATATTTCTCCTGTAAAGTTGATGAGGAGGAAGAGGAATTGGGCCAGATGATACCAAGGTGCTTTCCTGATCTGTGTTTTATCCCTGGGAATATACCTTCAGTTTGGGAAGTAAGTTAAAAAATAATTTATGGTGGCCAGGTGCAATGGTTCACACCTGTAATCCCAGCACTTTGGGAGGCCAGGAGTTTCAGACCAGCCTGGACAACATGGCAAGACCCTGTCTCTACAAAAAATAAGAAAAATCAATCAGGTATGGTGGTGACCACCTATAATCATTGCTACTCAGGAAACTGAAGTAGGAGGATCACTTAAGCCCAGGAGTTTAAGACTGTAGTGAGCTACAATTATATCACTGTACTCCAACGTGGGCAACAGAGTGAGACCTTGTCTCAAAAAAAAAAAAAATTATGGTACATGGATTTTTATTCATATGCCAAAACAGCTGCTTCTTGGTCTTATTTACTGATTTAATTTTTTTCAAATTTATGCATAAAAATTAATAATCAAAAGAAATACAGGCTCAGTTCCTGTAGCACAGTGGTTATGGTACCAGCCACATACACCAAAGTTGGTGGGTTCAAACCAGGCTTGCTAACCAACAATGACAACTGCAACAAAAAAATATCCTGGTGTTGTGGTGGGCACCTGTAATCCCAGCTACTTGGGAGGCTGAGGCAAGAGAATCGATTGAGCCCAAGAGTTTGAGGTTGTTGTGAGCACTCTACTGAGGCCAACATGGTGACACTCCGTCTCAAAAAAGAAAAAAGAAATATACAATTGGTATAGAAAAACATTATTGGTCTATCTTGAGAAAAAAAATCATCATTTAAATAAAATATATTTATATGTCCCCTTTCTGGTTTGTCTTTTTATTCCCCTAGACATGTCAAGTGGGGTTGATCAACAGTCACAGGTTCCTGCCAAACCTACTTTCGGTGAGGTACAAGCCTCTGCATTAGTGGAATCAGTATTTGGGTTAAAAGTTTCCAAGATCCAGCCTCTTCCTAGCTATGATGACCAAAATTTTCATGTATATACTTCAAGAACCAAAGACACTACAGATGGCCCAACTGAATATGTCCTCAAAATCAGCAACACCGAAACTAGCAAAAATCCAGACCTGATTGAAGTGCAGAGTCACATCATCATGTTCCTGAAAGCAGCTGGCTTTCCAACAGCCTCTGTGTGTCGGACTAAAGGAGACAACATTACTTCTCTTGTGTCTGTAGGTAAGAGGCTGACCCACTTGCCAGTCTGTTACCTGCCCATGTATATTACTGCATTTGGGCGACAAGTGGAGATATCAATAACAGGTTTACAATTCCAAATGTAGATTGGTTATTTCTTCAGTGTTTGGGAGAAGCCACAGCATCGCCAAGGTGAAGATTGGGTTTCTGATGTGGGAGTGTTTAGAGCTGAATCTGGTGTAAATTTCTGCTTAGAAAGAGGTGCTGATGCTTAGTAACTAAGGCGACTTGTTGACATCAGAGGAGCATTTTGGAGGGTGTTTTAAATCGCAAAAATAATTAAATATTTTTACGCAATCAGACCAGCACATTCTGCTGCTAAGATATAGTAGAAAAAACATACAACTGGATATCAGGAGTGTTAGATTCCAACTCTGTCATTATTCTTTATGTAACCTCAGGCACGCCACTTAACATTCCTAAGGCTACACATTCTCATGTGATATGATCCTTTTCACCTCTAAATACTAAAATGCTAAGATGTACCTAATTCATTTCTGTAAGCAACAACCTAAAATCAACCTCTTGAAAATTTTTTAAAGGTTTGAAGTCCTAGCTGTGTTTTTCTGTCTTCATTGTTCATCCTTTCTTTTTTAATTTGCATTGCTTCAAATACCTGAGGCCTGTTATGGTTTCTGAGAAGCAGTTGTTGTCCTGTGTTGCAAACCCAGGCTGTAACTCAATTTGCTCCTGAGTTGTTTTAGGTTAGCATATTTTTTTCTTTTGTTCTGTAATTTCTGTTCTTTTCATTAATAATCACATAGCTTACATAGGACAGAGCTGGGTTCTAAAATTCCTGATTTCTAGTCTTATTTTTTTCTATTATATTATATCATAGTAGAATGGCTTCTAATTGCTTATTTTTGAGAATAGTTGACAGGGTATATCATTCCACCCATCTAGATAGTGGCTCTGAAGTCAAAAGCTACTTGGTGAGGCTGCTGACTTACCTCCCAGGAAGACCTGTAGCTGAGATTCCGGTCAGCCTCCAGCTGTTGTATGACATTGGAAGACTAGCTGCCAAACTGGATAAGACCCTGGAGGTAAGATTTGGGGTTTCATTTTGTTTATAAGGAATTTTTTTTCTTTAGAGACAGAGTCTCACTTTATCACCCTCAGTAGAGTGCTGTGGCGTCACAGCTCACAGCAACTTCCAACTCCTGGGCTCAGGCAATTCTCTTGCCTCAGCCTCCTGAGTAGCTGAGACTACAGGTGCCCTCCACAACGCCCGGCTATTCTTTGTTGCAGTATGGCTGGTTCGAACTCGCTACTCTTGATATATGCAGCTGGTGCACTACCCACTGAGCACAGGCACTGCCCTATAAGGAATTTTTATTTGTTATTTCTCTTTTTTTTTTGAGACGAGGTCTCCAACTGTTGCCCTTGGTAGAGTGCTATGCCATCACTTGCTGCGAAAAAAGCCAGAACATGTGATATGAAGTATCTCTCTTCAGGATTCAAGGTTTCCCAGTGCTCAATGTCCTTAGAAAGATCCCACCTCCTCAGCCGTCCAAAAAGACGCCTCCGCTTTCTTATACATTTGCCAAATGTCATGGTATTCGATAGGAAAGATGACAAAGCGGCGGGGGTTTTCTCCAGCAGTGGTTCATCCTCCACGCTGGGGGCAGGTACTCTAGTTTCGGGCTCCGGGGACTCCTGGAAGATCCTCCTCGCGGTCTTGCTGGCCAGGACGGGGGTCCAGCTCAGGGTGGGGGGCGTGTTCTCCTAGTCAGCCAGGCTGAGCCCCTTCAGCGGTGTCAGCTGTGGCTGTTGTCTCCGATGCGGGCGGGGGGACGCGGACAGACAGCATGGCTAAGGTGAGGCGGGCGGACTCTGTAAAGACGCGAGGGGCAAACGGATGGCCCAGCAGCCCAGCGTCCTTAAATGCTGTGCGCAGCGCACCCTTCTGGGGGTGGCCCGACGCCCCTGCCCGCTGCATCCCCAGCAACCTCAAACTCTTGGGCTTAAGCAATTCTCTTGCCTCGGCCTCCCTAACCCTGACCCTAACCTTCAGTCTTCAGGCACCTGCCATAACACCCAGCTATTTTTTTTGTTGTGGTTGTCATTGTTTTTAGCAGGGTTAAGCCGGGTTCAAACCCGCCAGCACCGGTGTATGTGGCTGGCGCCCTCACCACTGAGCTACGGGTGCCAAGCCTGTTATTTCATTTTTTAAAATATTCAGGATCACATGCATGTAATCCTAGCACTGTGGGGAGGCTGAGGCAGGTAGATAGCCAGAGCTCAAAACCAGCCTGAGTTAGAGTGAGACCCTATCTCTAAAAAACAGCCAGGCATTGTGGAGGGTGGCTACTCAGAAGGCTGAGGGAAGAGGATAATTTAAGCCCAAGAGTTTGAGGTTGCTGTGAGCCATGATGTCACAAAACTCTACCAAGGACAACAGAGTGAGACTCTGTCTCAAAATAAAAACAAAAAACACAGGATCAGATTCTCTTTTTATGTGTGGTGCTTTCAAGGTGTGTTATAAAGGGAATGGGGTCCAAAATGCGTGAATTTTGTAACAGGCAGGCTACCTTCTGCCCATCTCTGTGCTTTACTGACATGTTGGCAAAATTACTTCAGTTTTAGAAATTATATCTTTCATGTTGTTCACTGAAAATAGTCTGTAGTCATAAACTGAAGCCTGAAGTTTTCATCCAAATAAGGTCTAATCAGCTGGGGCTCTGTAAGAAGCAATAGCTAAGCTGCAAATGGGTTAAAATGACTTGTATTAAATGATGTTTTGTCCTATAGAAGTAAATCCTGTATGACAGGTATTTTTTAGACATACCCATGAAACGTCTATCTTTATTCAACAAGCACTTGACTGAGTATCTTTCACGTGCCAAGTACTGAGAGAATAATAAGACACAGGCCCTGTTCCAGAATGTGTCCTAGGGGACAGATAAATGCTTTTAAAAGTAATTACAAGGCTGGGCACTGTATTGTGACTCACACCTCTAATCCCAGCTCTTTGGGAGGCCAAGGTGAAAGGACTATTTGAGCCCAGGAGTTCAAGACCAGCCTGGGAAATATAGAAAGACCCCATTTCTATAAAAAATTTAAAAAATTACCTGGGTATAAACCTGTAGTTCCAGTTGCTCAGGAGTCAGGGGATCTCTTGAGTCTAAGTGTTTCAGGCAATAGTGAGCTGTGATCACACCACTGTACTCCAGCCTGAGCAACAGAGTGAGACCCTGTCCAGAAAAAAAAAAAAATGTTTACCATTTGTATGAGTAAAACACTTCTAATCACTGACTAAATCCTGTCAGTTCTGCTTCTCAAATGTATATTCTGTCTCCTTAATTCCATTCCTCACTCAACTATCCTGGTTTCCCTGAACTACCGCTGTAGCTTCCCTATATGTAGTTTTCTTTTTTCTCCGCTATATTCTTTACATCAGTCAAGAGTGACTTTTTAAAATTACCCACCTGACTGTGTCAGTTCCATAGTTAAAACCTTTCAGTAGCTTCTCACTGCTTTCTAGGTAAAGTCTTCAGTGTGGTGAACAAAGCCCCTCATGGTCTCAGCCCTGGTTGGCCTCAGCCCTGCTCCCTCCCCAGCCTGTGGCCTGTGTCTCCCTTTCCATACAGTTCTCACCAGCAGTATATTAGCAGAAGTTGTTGTAATTCCCTGAATGTGCTCTTCTGTTTTAGGCATCTGAGCCTTTGCATATGCTATCATCTCCATTAGGAAGCCCCTTTCGCCTGCTTCAGAAGACTCCTTCTTACCCTTGAACACACAGCTCCCCTGTCACCTCCTCTGCAAAATCTTCCCCAATCCTGTCTCTTCCCTGCTGCACAGCGATGATTGCTTCCTTCTCTTTGCTGATACTTATTCATCTTTTTATCTCTGTATTTACTATACTATGTTCTGGTTATCGCTTTGTAAAAAAAAAGGCATACCCAAATGTACTGACTTAAAACAATAATGATTTATCTCTCATGATTCTGTGGGTTGACCAAGCCACTCTTTTCTACTTAGTGTTGACCGGGGTCACCATGCAGCTAGATTCCACCAGGGTGCTCACCTCCAGCAGCTTTTCCTCCTCATGTAATGTTGCGTCCTGCAGGACGGCCCATGCTTCCTTACGGTATGGCTGCTGGCTTCCAAGAGAGAGTTCCAAGAGGATAAGCCCCAACATGGAAATGCTTATCAAGACCCTCCTTGAGGACAGGCTTCAGCGTGGTGGCCACTAACTGGGAAAAGCTACACAAGGGCATGAATACCACAGTGGTATTTTAATTACTTGCTGAATAGCTGAGTTTCATGTTACATATGCTTGTAAGAGGCAGTAAGCTTCTTTTTCTTTTTTTTTTTTTTTTGAGACAGAGCCTCAAGCTGTCGCCCTGGGTAGAGTGCTGTGGCATCACAGCTCACAGCAACCTCCAGCTCCCAGGATTAAGTGATTCTCTTACCTCAGCCTCCCACGTAGCTGGGACTATAGGCGCCTGCTACAACGCCTGGCTTTTTTTTTTTTTTTCGTTGCAGCTGTCATTGTTGTTTGGCAGGCCTGGACTGGATTTGAATCCACCAGCTCAGGTGTATGTGACTGGCACCTTAGCCGCTTGAGCCAAAGGGGCCGCCCCGGCAGTAAGCTTCTTGGGGACAGTGTCTACATCTTGTTTATCATCTTCTATCCTTGGTGTTTAGGAGGGTCAAACATATACATAGGAGGGCTTCATTCAAAAAAAAGTAGTATCTGGGGCTGGGCATAGTGGCTCACACCTGTAATCCTAACACTCTGGGAGGCTGAGGTGGGTGGATCTCCTGAGTTCAGGAGTTCAAGACCAGCGTAAGCAAGAGCAACACCCTGTCTCTAAAAAAAAAAAACAGCCAGGGCTTGGAGCCCGTCACTCAGTGATTAGGGCACTGACCACATAACACTAAGGCAGGCGTGTTTGAACCCTGCTAAACAACAACAACTGCAACAAAAAACATAGCCAGGCATTGGCAGGCTCCTATAGTCCCAGCTACTTGGGAGGCTGAGGCAAGAGAATCACTTAAGTCCAAGAATTTGAGGTTGCTGCGAGCTATAATGCCATGGCATTCTACTGAGGGCAACAAAGTGAGACTCTCTCTCTCTCAAAAAAAAAAAATAATAATAATAATACCTGATCTCTTTATTAAAAGTTAGCAATCTATAAAGCAGGTAGAGAAAAGGAGGAAGGGCATTGCAGTTAAAGGAAAAGAGCAGTGAAAAATCATTGCACTCCAACATCCACTTTCCAGAACATCTGAATAATTCATAATAGGAATTGTACTTGAAACAGGCAGGGGATAAAGTTGAAAATGTAGGGTAGAGTCAGATTATGAAATATAATATAGGATACTAGGGAGTTTAGATTTTGTCTTATGGAAAGTAAGGGGCCTTGAAAGGTTTTCAATAGGCAAAGATTTCTAACGTATATCACTCTAATTTGTATCCTGCCATTATGGTGGGTAGATTGGCAGAAAGCCAGGCTGAAGGAAGGGAGTATGCCAGTGAGCACAGTAATCAGGTAAAAGCTGATTGAGGGCTTGAACCAAGAAAAGATTCAAAATGTATTTAGGAAGCAGAGCATCTGGATTGGTGCTTGATTTAACATTAAGCTTATGCAAGAGGGAACGCTGAGCAAGACTGATGGCTTCCAACTGTCCTGCTGGGACACAACCCCAGTCTGAAGGAGGTAAGGTGCACCCTGGTATCAGTCATGGGAAAACCTTACAGCCAGGAGCTGAAGCAAGGAGCTGAAGGAACAGGAAGAGGGAAAGAGCAGAGATGGGTCGAGGGAGCGCTGAGTGTGTGGAAGCTAAGGCTCCTCGCCATACAGAAAGCACGTCGGCCTCTCCTCCCTTCACGTTGTGTTCCTCCACTGGCTCTAGAATCTGCCCGTCTGCTTCCTTTATATCTGGCTGGAGCTGTATTTTTTTTTCCTTTTTCTTTTTTATTAATTACTCAACATGGTAGAATGGCCAGATTTTTAGAGAGAGAAGTAAAGTAGAGCCTTAACAGGAGTCAAGTGAAAGATGGGACAGAACTGGGAACTCTCCCCAGGGTGACAAAGTGAGACTCTGTCTAAATAAATGAACAGTAATGTATTACATATACATGGTAAAATTTCTAACAATACTGAAAGGTTGTTCTCCTCTCTCTTATCATCTCCATTCCTAGTCACAATCCTATTCTCCAAAAGTAACAGCTCCTGACAGTGTTTTCAGTGTTCACCATGCAGAGGATTTTTGTAATCCTCAGTGGCATTTAACATAAAAGATAGCAAGGAGATTCAGAAACTTGTCACCTGAAGAAGCTTTGAAGGAACCAGAAAGGTTTAATTTGTAGAAGAGAAGACTCTGAGAGAACAGAAGTGCTGTCTTCAAAAATCTGGAGGACTAATCCTATTGCAGATGCCCTGGAGGTCACATTTGGAACCAGTGCCATGGACACTATCGCAGAGGCAGATTTGGTTCAGCAAAAGAATACAGAGCTATCTCAATACTCATGGGAAGTATTCAAACAGAGGCCACAGAACCACGCAGCGAGGATACGATAGTGACAACACAAGCATGGGGAAGGTTTTCAAACTTCAGGTCGTGTTAGTGAAATCAATTAGAGGATCATTTAGGGGAACTTTTTTTAAACAAAGAAATAGAATACAATGTAAAACACCAGAATATGATGTCATGTGTAATGATCTGAATTTTCCTGTTTACTGGGATTTTTTTATTTTATTTATTTATTTGTTTGTTTATTTTGAGACAGTGTCTCACCCTTTGCCTAGGCTTGAGTGCAGTGGTGTCATCATCCTAACTCACTGCAGACTCAAACTTCTGGGCTCAAGGGATCCTCCTGCTTCAGCCTCCCAAGTAGTTGGGACTACAGTCACATGCCACAATGCCTAGTTAATTTTATGTTTTTTATAGAGGGAGTCTCACTTTTGCTCAGGCTCACCTCAATCTCCTAGCCTCAAGCAATCCTCCTGCCTTGGCCTCTCAGAGTGCTAGGATTACAGGCATGAGACACCATGCCTGGCCAGGACTTTTTTCTTTATATGTGTGTGCCCCCATATACTAGGTTGTGATATATATACTGGGGGTATGTGTGTGTGTGTTTAAGAGACGAAGTCTTACTCTGTCGCCCAAGTTGGAGTGCAGTGGTGCAATCATAGGTCATGGCTCAAACTCCTGGGCTCAGGCAATCCCCCTTCCTCAGCCTCCCAAGAAGCTGGGATGACAGGTGCCCATCATCATGCCTGGCTAAAATTTTCATTTTGTATAGAGTCAGAGTCTCACTCTGTTTCCCAGGCTGGTCCTAGTCTCCTGGGCTCAAACAATCCTCCCACTTTGGCCCCCAAAAGTACTGAGATTAGAGGTGCAAGCCACACACCCAACTATGATGTGTTTATTTCTTTCTACAAGTCATGGTTAAAAAATTTGAAAGATACTCCATTGGGTGACCACCCAGCTACCTTTTATCGCTCACTCTGTGAAAGAGGTCTGAGCTGTAAGTCAGAAGACCCATGTCCTTCCTGAGTTCCATGGTAACTAGTCATTATCCCTCTCAGTTTCCCCTCTTGTCCAACAATGGTCAGAGTCACTTAGAACTTTAGACAGAGTGGTCAAAGTCTAAAGGCCCTTCCAATACTAGAACTTTTTATTCTAAGAACATCCATTTATTGATCAAATGTTTCTTGCCCAGCGCCTTCAGCATACCAGGCACAGTTCCAGGTGTGGGGGTACAACAGTGAACAAACAGACATAAAACAGACCTCTTGCTCCTTGTGGGGCTTATATTCTAGTAGGAGAGACAGTAAAATAAGGTAAGGGAATGATGGCAAATGCTAGATAACAGTAGGCACTAAGGAAAAACAAGCAAAGAAGAGGGATACAAGATACTAGAGAAAGGGTTGAGACTCTATTTTTTCTTCTTTTTTTGTAGCAAATTTGCCTGATAAAGGTTGAAATTCTAGATGGAGTAAGTGAGCAGGCAATTCTCACAGAAAAGGTGTTTTTTGAATAAAGACCATTTGGATACCTAGGGAGAGCACCCCGGCAGGAGGAAACAACAAATGCAAAGGGCCATGAGGTAGGAACGTGCCAGTCATGTTACCGGAACAGGTGGGAGGCCAGTGTGGTTGGAGCAGAGAGCAGAGTGAGCAAAGGTGGGAAAGCGGTGGGGGCCGGGGGAGGGTGTCAGATCACGTGGGTGAGAACAGAGTTCTTTAGAGTTGCCTCTCATTCCTCCGAGAGCTGTGGGTGTCTTTTTTTTTTTTTCTCTTTTTTGAGACAGTCTCACTATGTCACCCTTGGTAGAGTGCTGTGACGTCACAGCTCACAGCAACCTCAAACTCTTGGGCTTAAGCGATTCTCTTGCCTCAGCCTCCCAAGTAGCTGGGACTACGGGCACCCGCCACAGCCACAACACCCGGCTATTTTTTGGTTGCATTTGTCAGTGTTGTTTTAGCAGGCCTGAGCCGCGCTCAAACTCACCAGCTCTATGTATGTGGCTGGCACCCTACTCACTGAGCTACGGAGCCAAGCCAGCTGTGGATGTCTTCACACAACTATGAGGATCAAGTGAGATGAAAATGTGCTCCCATAACTATGAGGTCCTTTATAAATATGAAGGTCTTACTATATTTTGTAGATTAGTGTAAATGGAGCAACTCAGCGACCATGAGGAAATGCCAACTGTCTCCATCAGGCACTCCCAGGTCACTTTGGAGCACACAGCAAATCTCTCAGTAGTGCTCTGTCTAGTGGCTAAGAGTTTCTTGCTTTTGATTTAGAAATTCCATCACCCAAAGTTAAGTAGTCTTCAGCGGAAGAACTTCATCTGGAATCTGAAAAATGTTCCTCTTCTGGAGGAATATCTGCACGCCTTGGGCCAGAATCAAACTCGAGAGATTGTTGAGCAGGTCATTCAGCTGTTCAAGGAGGAAGTGATGACCAAATTAAGTCATTTTCGAGAATGTGAGTATTCCCCCAATCAAATATTTAAATCGTCAAATTTCATACCTTCTAAAAAATCCGAAAGTAGAATTTAGCTTCACCAAATCTTAAAACTTTACTATATTTGTTCCTGTTATTTTATAAATAATATTTTACTTTTCTTAAAATTGTCTACAGTTGAAGCCTCCCTAAACTTTATGTGATTCTTCCTATCTCCTACCTACTAAATTCACATACTACATATGAATGAGTTATAAATGGATTACAGTAGTATTTTGCATTTTTAAAACTTTTCATCAGTGACATCACACTGTATTATCATTATGCAGCCTGCTTTTTAAATTCAGCATATTTTTCAGATTGAGCTACATTAATATATGTAATTCTAGTTTATTTAAATTATTAGATTTTACTGCTCAACAGTATTTTATGACATGAATGTACCAAAATTCATTTGAATGTACCGCAAGTTTTCTCTTGTTGATGGAATTTTAGGTTGCTTCCCATTTTTTTGCTACATAAGTGATACTACAGGGAACACTCTAGTACACATCCCCTTATATATAAGGACAAGAGTCTAGGGCAGTGTTTTTCAACCTTTTTAATCTCACGGTGCACTTGAAACTTCCACAGCACACCTAAATTATGCCAATCGAAAAAAAAGAATATATTCACTGTGCTTTGAACTTCTTTCAAAAATAATTTAATTAATGATCTTTAAATATTTTTGCAGCACACTTAAGATCCTTTCACGGCACACCAGTGTGCCATGAAAATCACTAGTCTAGGGTATGTATCTAGATGCAACTAGCCTTTTCACCCAGCATCAAGTACTGGTTAAAGGACAAGGAAATAAAGGGAATTTCTAGCAAGGCCTAGAACAGGCAGTATGTGTTTCTTTTGCCATTTGCTCACTTTGTATAAACACAACGTAAGGTTGTAGCATAAAAACAAGAGTTGATTCTTTTCCCCTCAAACCTGTTTCTCCACCAGTCCGCTTCATCTCATCCAAATGGTATCCACCATTCATCTAATGCCAAGCAGATTTTTTTTTTTTTTGAGACAGAGTCTCACTATGTCACCCTCAGTAGAGTGCCTTGGCATCACAGCTCACAGCAACCTCAAGCTCTTAAGCTCAAGAGATGGGGTCTTGCTCTTGCTCAGGCTAGTCTTGAACTCCTGAGCTCAAGCAATCCACCTGCCTCAGCCTCCCAGAGAGGTAGGATTACAGGCATGAGCCACCACATCTGGCTGCTAAGGCTTCTTTTCAACAGTTTGCCTTGTATGTCTTCTGAGATTCTTAATCTTACTTGCCTACAATTTGAAGTACTTTATGTGAGAATTCAGTCCCAAGTACTGATACATAGATTCTCACTTTCATTTAGTTCAAAATATTTTGTAATTTACCTTCAGATTTCTTCTTTTTACCTGTGGGTATTGAGAAGCATAAATACTTTCCCTAAAAATAGGATAAACTTTCTAGTTATCTTTTTATTGTTGATTTCTACTATAATTACATTGTGATCAGAGAATATACTCTGTCACTGCTCTTCTGCTAGATTTTCTTCAATGAAAGAAATAGTCTATATCAGTGCTGTCCAATACAGTCACCACCATGTGAATACCTGAAATGTGGCTAATGTACCCAAGGAATGGGATTTTCATTTTTATTTAATCTTAATGAATTTAAATGGCCGCATGTGGCCAGTGACCACCATACTGGGTAGAGTAGCTCTGTATGATTTCAGTATTTTGAGTTTACTTTATGATGCACTTTCTGGTAAATGTTAATAAATGGTCCATGTGTGTTTAACAAAAAAATGTATTCTGAAGTTATTGGGTAAGAAGTTATATATATGCCCATTGGGTCAAGTTTGTTAATTATGTTGTTTAAATTTTCTATGTCTTTCATTAACTTCTTTGTCTGCTTATTCTAACAATTACTAAGTTAATTTTATTTTAAATCTCTGCACCATGATTGTAGACTGTCTGGTTTTTGCTTATATTTCTGTCAAATTTTGCTTTCTATATTTTGAGTCAATTTTATCTCAATTTCAGAAATGTATAGTTTAAAATATATAGTGAGCTATGAAGTCTACTTATGCATGATTTGTGTAATCCTAATCACACAGAAGAAATCTGTGTTATATTTAGTTCAGATTATGTACTTTATATTATGTACTTATTAGAAAGTGTGTGGGCTTCACAATTCATGGACCTATCCATGTTGTCCTAATCCTTAGCGACTTAAATCAGTGCTTGTCGAACTAACTGTTGTAAGAGACAAGTTTGGTTTTTTATTTCCCTAGCCATCCACCCCATCATAGCCTGGCACATGGTCTTACTGAACATGCTTAGTTCACAGTCCGTGCCACATGTGACTAACCTACAAGTTTGAAAAAATTTAAACTTGTCTACTCTCTGTTCAGTGTGACAAGGCCACCGATCACGCTCTTGGATGTCAGGTTGCTATAAAATCTTCTAAACATGCTCAATTTCTGTTCTCAACTCATGCAGACATGTAATATTTTGTAGACCAGCACTGGCCATAGACCCCACTTTGAGTAGCACTGACTTAAATGTCACCACCTATTCCAATAATCAACTGGAGAAATTCAGGATTACTTTGCCATCAGAACTTTTTTTTGAAAACTCTAAGGTGAAAATTAAGGCACATCAGGCCCATTCTAGAACTCCTTGCCTATCGTAATAATACAATCATGTTTATATTCTTTTTAAACATTTTTGATTTGAGTGGTGCTCCTTTTCACTTTACTCATCCAATAACTGAAATCGGGTATTTGCAGTGACCGCCGTCTCCACCTTCTGGCCTTCTATTGATTAGAAGCAAAAGCAAGAGCAAAACCAGAAATCTAAAATTAACTCCTTTTATCCTTTTCAGAGGAAATTATTTTATTTCAAGAAAGATATAGGGTGGCATCTGTGGCTCAAAGGAGTAGGACGCCGGCAGCATATACCACACGTGGAGGGTTCAAACCTGGCCCTGGCTAAAAACTGCAAAAAAAGAAAAAAAGAGAGAAAAATATAGTTTAGCCCTTCATTTCTGACTGCTTATCAAATTATTTGAATGACCTTGCCTAGGAAAGAGAATGGAAAGAAGATGAACTGTAAATTAACTGTTTTCCTATGATTTGTCTACTTTCAGGTATCAATCATGGGGATCTTAACGACCATAACATTTTAATAGAGTCCAGCAAGTCAGCCTGTGGAGATGCTGAATATCGCGTGTCTGGGATTTTAGACTTCAGTGACATGAGCTGTGGCTACTATGTATTTGAAGTGGCAATCACCATCATGTACATGATGATTGAGAGCAAAAGTCCTATGCAAGTAGGAGGGCATGTCCTTGCAGGGTTTGAAAGTATCATCCCCCTGACAGCTGCAGAGAGGGGTGCTTTGTTTCTACTTGTATGCAGCCGTTTTTGTCAGTCACTTGTCATAGCTGCACACTCCTGCCAGCTATACCCAGAGAACAAAGACTATCTTATGATTACTGCGAAAACTGGGTGGAAGCACTTACAGCAAATGTTTGACATGGGCCAGAAAGCTGTGGAAGAAATCTGGTTTGAAACTGCTAAGTCCTATGAATCTGGGATCTCCATGTGACTAGGTAAAAGTTTACATTAACCTGGGTAGTTAAAAACCCAATAGGACCAAATCAAAGGATTTTCCTGAGTAGTTAAAAATGAACTGATGGAACAGGTTGATTGTGAATATGACAAAGCACACAAAACTAGGTCTTCAAGCAATCTCATGACCATGGTTTAAACTACAGAAAGTACTACATAAGCAAGCGTGTCTCTCTGTGGATGTATGTGGTATAAAACACATATATGATACTTTGAATCAGATAATCTCTAGGTCTGTTCACCCTGAGATCAATGCCTTTTTTAAATTTTGAAAGGAATATGCTGTATATGTATAAATATATTCATGTATTTTGAATAGCTGGACATAATGTACAGACAGACCTAGCTAACGATCCCCAGTTCTATGAAACCTTCTCTGATCTCTCCTTTCTCTGGAATCCCATCGCACTATGTCTTTTTCATGACACACCACTTTGCGTAATGGATCATGGTTCACAGTCATCTAGGCTGAGGGTAATGGGAGGGCAGCTACCTTGTGAAACTTATTTTTGCCCATCTGTTCTTCTCACACCTGCTCTGGTGCCTTTCATACAGAAGAGTCTGTAAAAATATTTTCAGAATGAATGTATGCTAGAAAAAGCTGGAGAAAGCACACACTAAGACGCCTTAGAAGGAAACACAGAAGGTATTCTTCAAAGAATTTTTTTTTTTTTTTAGAGACAGAGTCTCACTTTATTGCCCTCGGTAGAGTGCTATGGCATCACAACTCACAGCAACCTCCAACTCCTGGGCTCAGGCAATTCTCTTGCTTCAGCCCCCCGAGTATTGGGACCACAGGTGCCCGCCACAACACCCGGGTATTTTCTTTGTTGCAATTTGGCTGGGGTCGGGCTCAAACCCGCCACCCTCAGTATATGGGGCCGGCACCCTACCCACTGAGCCACAGGTGACACCCAATATTGTATTTGTATGATTCTATTTGTTTGTTTTTTTTTTTTAGAGACAGAGTCTCACTTTATTGTCCTCGGTAGAGTGCTGTGGTGTCACAACTCACAGCAACCTCCAACTCCTGGGCTTAGGCAATTCTCTTGCCTCAGTTTCCCAAGTAGCTGGGACTACAGGCGCCTGCCACAATGCCCAGGTATTTTTTTGTTGCAGTTTGGCCAGGGCTGGGTTTGAACCTGCCACCCTCGTTATATGGGGCCGCACCCTACCCACTGAGCCACAGGTGCCACCTGATTCTTTTTTTATTTTCACAAAGAAATTTTTTAACTTGTTGGAGAGGGTAAATGAAACTGGAGCTCCAGAGAGAGATACTGGAAGACACGAACTACGAGGAAGCAGATAGAGACATCAAGCAAGGCCACTAACCCCTGAGCCACCTAAATTTAATGCTTAGCTTTCAGGCTGATACTAGGAATGTCCCGAAGCAGATATTTTAAAATTCTCTATAATTTGTGTTTCTTTTCATATGACAATGTAGTAGATTGGGTAAACTGGAGCTCACTATGTACTTGGCCCTAATTATACCACTGCATTTCCTTCACTGGTTCCTCTTCCTGTCTCCCTTAGTATGATTTAGTAAATGGCTATTTACTTATTCTTCTGGTTTTAACGATTCATTTTCTACAAATAACTCAAGTCCAGAGCCCTGGCCAGTCTAACACCCTCTCAATAGTTATCTCTTCCTCTGTATATGAATTGATTCCATATCTACATGTGTCTCTTTCTATATATACACGAATAGACATTGATTCTACATGAATAGACCTATCTGCCTGCCTGCCTACCTGTTTATACTTGCTAAAATAAGTGTTTTTCTGAATTTTCTTATATGATTAACTTTTAACTTCTCTGTTTCAATTTTCTTATTTGTAAAATTAAGCTAGTAGTACTACCTGATTTATAGAGCTGTGAGGATTTCACAAGAGAATAATGCCAGTGCTTAGCACAATCCTTGTCACATAGTTGGGACATCACAAGCATTTACTAAACAAATCTACTATATTCCACATTATCCAAACTCAAAATATTGGAGTCATTTTTTTTTTTGTCTACCTCTCTCACATTCAATCACTGAGACCTTTTAGTTTTTAGAATCATAGAATTTTAGAAATCTCTGTCTTTCCTGCCTTTTAGTTTTTAACAATATATAATAAAAGCCAACATTTATTGAGCACAAAGTATTTTACGCATATTATTTCATTTAATCTTCACAGCCAACCCATGAAGGAAGTACTTTTATGATCAATTCCCCTTTTCAGATAAGGGCTTAAAAAGTTGAGCTAATTGGATTAAAGGGATTCTATTGCTTAAATCAGATCTTTCTGATGCTGATCATGCTGTTCACTACGACAGGGTCCTATACTACTTCCTCTCTGGCCTCCCCCCTCACCTCTCCCCCCTACACACACACTCACATGCACATGTACATGTACGTTAGGAGGAATAAATGAGATCATTCATTTGACTTATGCTTCTCAAATTTAAAAAACTGTGGTTTTTATCTGCTTTAACTGTTCAAGAGATTTGGGACCAGAAAAGTGGACTGAAACTTGAGTTTTACTCCAGCCCCATGTTCATCCTCTTCTATGATGAAACTCCACAGATTTCCCTCTTGATTGCTTCTGCTGACATGGATTCCCTTTAATTCAACATCTGAATCAAATATTGCTGACCAGAAGGCAGCGCCTGTGGCTCAGTGAGTAGGGCCCCAGCCCCATATACTAAGGGTGGTGGGTTTGAACCCAGCCCCAGCCAAAGTGCAACAAAAAAATAGTCGGGCATTGTGTCAGGCGCCTGTAGTCCCAGCTACTCGGGAGACTGAGGCAAGAGAATCACCTAGGCCCAAGAGCTGTAGGTTGCTGTGAGCTATGATGCCACGGCACTCTACTGAGGGTGACAAAGTAAAACTCTGTCTCTAAAAAAAAAAAAATTGCTGACCACTATGTGTATTTCAATATGTAGATACTTGCTACATTGCATCGATATTCTGATATTTGGTATTTTTTCTAATTTATCTTCAATCAACCAATTCCATGTATTTTATAAACTCTTGGGTGGCTGTGATAGTTAATTTTAGATGTCAGCTTGACTGGGTAAGGGAACACCCATGACTGGAGTAAGGGATACCCAGATAACTAACAAAACGTTATTTTATCTGGACGATGTTTTCAGAAGATATTGGCATTGAATCAGCAGGCTGAGTAAGGAAGATCCCCCTCACCAGTGTAGGTGGGCATCACCCAGTCCACTCAATTTATCCTGATAGAATAAAAAAGCAGAGGAAAGATAATTTCAGTCTTTCTTCTGAAGCTAGAACATCCGTCTTCTCTTGCTTTCAGAAATCAGAACTCCAGGTTCTTGACCTTTGGACTCCAGGATTTATACCAGTAGCTCTCTTGGTTCTCCGGCTTGCAGATAGGATATTGTGGGACTTCTCAGCCTCTTTATTTCCTTAATACATCCCCTTCTATCTGTCTATCCATCCATCCTATTGGTTGTTTTTCTCTGACTTAATATAGTACATATGTTGAACAATTTTTTTTTCATACTACCTTCAGGACATAGCACTGTGTCAGGCTCCTAGCAGATCCAAGAAAGATCTGTTGAACAAACTGCAAGAATGAACACACTTCTGCAAGTGATAAACCCTGCGCCTTTCAACAAGTGAAGAAAAAACCCAGTTCTAGATTTAAGAATCAGTACCATATGTCTGCTGAAGACCCTCTGCTCTTGCAAGCTTCTTTTTCTGTCCAGATTTTTATCCTCTCTGGACTATAACAGAACTTTACTTTCTGGACCTCTTAGCCTCCCTAACCTACATACTTCATATTAGAGGTAGATGAAAATTCTGGTTACGTATGTATATTGGCATATGACGATTTAACCAAAAAATTAGTTGCTTAAAACTTAAGACAATCATTTTACTATCTTTTCTTTTCTTTTCTTTTTTTTTTTGAGACAGAGTCTCACTATGGTGCCCTCGGTAGAGTGCCGTGGCATTGATTCAGGAATTTTGTTCTTCAGTAGGTCCTTGGTCTCAGGGATTCGAAGAATGAACCAACGGACCACAGATCAGTGGTAAGATAGGACTTTTATTAGAAGTTAGAAAAGGATACAGAAGAAGTAAAAAGTACCAGAACTTCTGGAAGGGGGAAAGAACTGAGGAACTCCCTCGGGAGTCTTCACGTGGGCTCTTTTCTCTAGGGGTCTTAAGTCTAGAGGATTACACATGGCTGGCAGTTGGTCCTTCACAGTCTTTGTCCCTGAGAAGGTTTAGGGTGTGTGCTCCTACCCAAGGTGGAACCACCCAAAAAACCATCACAGGCTGCTTTGTTCATGATCTTATCAGAGTCCAGAGGGTGTCTCCTGAAAAAGGAGGTCTGCTTGCACCTGGAAATGGGGACTGACCTCTGAGCTCATTTGGGCCTAGAGAATGAGGGGCTCCCTGTCTAGCCCTGAGTGGTGGAATCCTGTATCAATCCTCCCTCTCCGAATAGAAGCTCTAACTGCTGTTAGGGAAAAGGGGCACTGATTGCTCCAAACTGCTTCCTGCTGAAGATGGACGGTGATATGGGGAAGCAGTTAGAGTTTCCTCAGAGGAAGTTGATTCAGGGGTCACAGTACATGGAAATTTAGGTTGATTTTTCTAGCCTAGGGTAAAATGTTAGTGTATTCTTTTAATGAAATTGAAACGGGTTCCTTGTCCAGGCTGGAATGAGGGAACCCTATATCAGCAGAAGGGGGTAGTTAGGGTCTCTTCAGGTGAGTGGTGATCCAGGGGTCTGCAATAGAGTCAGGTCTGGGCTGGAACCCTTTTCACTGTGGTTTGATGATATTATCTAAGCGTAGGTTAGACTGTAGTTGATTCTCTTCATGGTCTGCTTCTGTAGAAGGTGGTGGGTTCCAGGATTTTACTCATAAATGATGTATCCAGGAATCTATTCCCATAACTTAACAACTGTAGAGACAAGATAACAGAAAAGGGGCCTTCCCAAGTTGGGGTTAGGGAAGGTGAATTAGAGGGAAGAGTCGCACATGCCCCAGACTCATGCTCCTGTTAGACTTCTAACACATGCACTTGTGCTCCACCTCCCTGGCACAGCAGGCAAGACAGGCCAGTGGTGTGCCCTCCATGGACTGGAGAGGACTTGGGATCCCTCCTCAGCCAGTGAGAGCGCCGGCCTTCACCTTCATTGTGCCAGGGCAGCTTTCCAGAGTCCTTAAAAGCCTGTAATTCCTAAGCCTTCAAGCTGAGAGTTTGAAGTTTAGTGTGAACCAATATTGGTCTTAGTCTTTCTTTTCCCAAGGCTGTCTTGCTCTGTGAAAACTAGAGACCTGAATAGTGAACTTCAGGTACACATAATTGCGCTTTAGCCTTGGAAACTTTGTACCCACAATCAGAAAGTTTAACAGAGCTTGGGTAGCTTTGTGGCATTCCTCTGCATCTGGAGCTCCTAAAAGAATGTCATCTACATACTGAGTAAGAGTCGCTGTAGGATATGAAAAATACCTCAAGTCTTTGGCTAGGGCTTGTCCTAGTAAGTGAGGGCTGTCCCTAAATCCCTGAGGTAACAAAGTCCATGTGAGCTGGATGTTAGAGTCGGGGGGTCTTCAAAAGCAAAAGGTATTGGGATTTTATTTTGCTCTTCCCACCCGTCCCTCCATAGCCCATGCTTCTGGGTTAATTTTTGTCTCTAATAAGGGAAGGCATAGTATAGGTTCCTGTCCC